GATGCTGTCCGAGCAAGCCCAAAAGTGGTTCCCCACCCACGTGCAGGTCACAGTGCTCCAAGCCAAAGAGCTGAAGCCCAAAGGCAAAAGTGGCACCAATGACACGTACACGATCATCCAGCTGGGCAAGGAGAAGTACTCCACCTCCGTGGCCGAGAAAACCCTCGAGCCGGTGTGGAAGGAAGAGGCCTCCTTCGAGCTGCCCGGGATGCTGGCGCAGGGGAACCCCGAGAAATACATCCTCTTCCTCATAGTCATGCACAGGTCCCTGGTCGGGCTGGATAAATTCTTGGGGCAAGTGGCAATCAATCTCAATGACATCTTTGAGGACAAACAAAGAAGGAAAACCGAGTGGTTCAGATTAGAATCCAAACAAGGAAAAAGAGCTAAAAACAGGGGTGAGATAAAGGTCAATATTCAGTTCATGAGGAACAATATGACAGCCAGTATGTTTGATTTATCAATGAAGGACAAAACGAGATCTCCTTTTGCAAAACTAAAAGATAAGATGAAAGGAAGAAAAAACGATGGGACATTTTCGGATACGTCTTCTGCAATCATTCCAAGCACTCCCCTGCCTGATGCCAGCACGGAGTTTGCAAACCACGAAATCCAGATGAAATCCAAACCAAAAAAATCTTTTCTTTTGGGTCCTCAGAGACTTTCTTCAGCCCATTCAATGTCTGACTTAACTGGGTCCCACATGTCCTCTAAGAAACTGAAGTCAGGCACTGTTGGTCAAACACATCTTCTGGGGCGCCAGATAGATTCCTTTGGGGCAGTTCCAGAAAGCGGAAGTCTCAAATCTCCACACAAAAGAACATTAAGCTTTGATACTTCTAAAATGAACCAACCTGACAACAGCGTGGCCGAAGGCGAACTGTTGTCCTTCGGAAGACAGAATGACCCATTTACAAATGTGACTGCTTCATTACCCCAAAAATTTGCAACACTGCCAAGGAAGAAAAACCCATTTGAAGAAAGCAGTGAATCATGGGACAGCAGTGTGAATTTATTTTCCAAATCAGTTGAAATAAGGAAAGAAAACAAAAGAGAGAAGAGAGAGAAAGTTAGCCTCTTTGAAAAAGTTACTGGGGAAAAAAGACAGCAGAAGATCTGATAGACCTAACAGTGGGGGGGTCACACAGTCCTTGTGATGTGAAATCACCTAATGCATTCAGTGAAAACCACCAGGACTGCTTTGATTATGAGTCAACTAATCTGTTTACAACAAAATTCGGGGCTTCTAATATAATGCCATCTTCAAGTAGATAAACCTTCACTTGATGGCAGTCATGTGAACAGGTTCCAGTTTATTCATCTGTGAGTAGAAGGGATGTACACCTTGTACAGAATCCTCCATGTTGACGTACTGTCTCCATACCCTGGACTAGTGATGAGCAAACTCTCTATCTGTGCACCAGATTTGGCCTGCAGCTGGTATTTGTAAATAAAGCTTTACTGGAACACACACACACACAAAAAAAAAAATTTCAGATTGTTTGGTTCCACAACCAACACTCTTGCTACCAGCAGCCAGGAAATCAAAAGGTAAAATGCATTGGGAAAGTCTGTTGTCAGGGACCTCTCTAGAGTATTGAGAAGCAACTATGTCAGTCTAGAGACTAAGTAGACATGATCCAGGCCATGCATGGTCTTTGCAGTTACTTGCTATTCATTAGAGAGCTAGATGGACAATGACTAAGGATGACAAAAGAAGAACTGATGCCCTTGAGTTGTAGTGCTGGAGAAGAGTCTTGAACATACCATGGACTTCCAAGAAAACAAATAGGTCTGTCTTGGAAAGGGTGAAACCAAGTTTCTTCTTGGTGGGTCCTTGGAGAAGGACATCATGCTCAGAATGGTGGAGGGACCTTTCCAGGAGAGGAAGACCCAGGATGAGATTGATACAGTAACTGGGGAAATGGGAATAGGTGTGTTGGAGTCAGTGAGATTGGCTTAGGACAGGGCAGGCTCCAGAGCTGTTATACATATAGGGTCACTGTGAGTGACAGGTGACTCAACAGCATATAACAACACAAACAACAACCAGGTTGTTTGGGGGGGGGTGTTTGTAGTGCGAAAGAGGAGGGATTACAGTCAGAGCACTGAAGGGCAAAAAGGTAATTCGTTTACTACCATAAAGGTATTACATAATTATCTTGCAATCCACCAGAGTAATGGTTTATGTAGGAATACACATCCCCATTTGGCCTTTGCTCTTTTTACCAACCAAGAATTCTACATTCAACAAAAATTTCCCACAAATATGACAAAGAAATTAAAACATTTCCAGACAAACAAGAAACAATGGAATCTGTGAAAACTAGACAAATGCTTAAGACTTAATAAAGGAGCTCTTTGTAGTGAGAAACAGCAATGATAGAAAATCACCCAAAACTGACGTAAATTACAGTATCATTCAGGAACTGACCCAGAGGTACAAATGCACAAAGTAGAAACAAACTAACAATGGTAAAATAAGAAACCAAAGTATCAGTATAAAATGAGGACAAGAGAAATGCAATAAGAAGGAAAAAGAAATGTAGAACACCTAAGTAATGAGAAAGTCAGGTGATTTAAAGATAAAGTGAACTGTTTAAGACTTGGGAATAAAACAGTAACCTACAGGTTCCATTGTCAACACCCATGATAGCAGCAGGCAAGAAGTAAAAAACGTATGTGTTGTCTTGGGTAAATAAGCTGTAAAGAACTTCCTCAAAGTTCTAAAGGGCAAAGATGTCCATTTAAAGACATCTGATCCAAGCCATAGTCTATTAAACTGTTAATAAAGAAGAGAAGAAATAATGCCTTTGAATTGTGATGCTAGGAAAGAGTATCCCATGGACTACCAAAAGAACAAATAAATATATTCTGAAAGAAATGTAGCCAAAGTGCTCCTTAGAGGCAAGGATGGTAAAACTTCACCTCACTTACTTTGGCCATGTTCCCAGAAAGACTCTGCCCTTGGAGAGACATAATGCTGGGAAAAGTGGAGGGTCTGAGAAAGAGAGGAAGACATTCAACAACATAGATTACTGACTATCACAATGGACTTCTGCATGACAGAGATCATGAGGATGGTGCTGTTGTTCACAGGGTTGCTATGAGTCATAGTCAACTCAATGGCACCTGACAACAATACAGGGTGTAATATCCACATAAATGAATAAAACTTCTCATCAAAATGAAAAAGAAAAACATAAAGAATTGGAAAACACTAAAAAACAGCAATGAAGAAAATTATAAAAAAGCTAGAAAGAAAATTAAATGAATATTTAAAAGTAGTTGGAACAAAGACATCAGTAATATCACAGAAAAGAGTGCAACCAATTGGCAGTAATAAAACCATGCCTTTCAATAATTACACTGAATGTGAACAGAATAAATGTATCAGTCAAGAGAAAAAGAGCAGCATAATGGATAAGAAAATATGACCTACCAATATGCTGTCCGTAAAGAGACACATTTTAAACAAAAGATACACTAAAAACAAAGGGCAGAAAAAATATAGCAAGCAAAGAGGAATCAAAAAAGAACAAGACTGGCAACATTTTCTGATAAAACAGACTTCAAGACAAAAACCAGCATTGTTTGTTGCTGTGTACCAGAGTCGGGACTGACCCATATCTGACCCTCCAGTGGGTTTTCAAACTGGAGGAGACTGCCCATCTTTCTCCCGCAGAGCAGCTGGATGCCTTCTGGATTGCAGCACTGCTTCTTGCCACTAGGCCACCAGAGCTGCCTTAAAAACCAGCCTAAGGGGTAAAAGGGGCATTTATATAATGATTAAAGGGTCATGTGAACAAGAGGGCATACATATCAATGTATTCAATGACAGAAACACAGGACACACAACTCAAACTTTAACAAATGTGAAAAGAAAAACAAGCAAATCCACAATAATAGAGACTTCAATACAATATTTTCCATGAAGAACAGAAAGAGCAGAAAGGAACTCAACTAAAAAACGGAACATATACAGAACACTCCACCCAACAAGATCACAATATACATTTTCCTCCAGTGTACATAGGTAAAAAGACTGAAGACACACACAAATGTTTATTGCAGCTTTGTTCACAATAGCAAGAAGTTGGAAACAACATAAATGCCCATCAACAAACAAATGGATAGAGAAGCTGTGGCAAATTCACACAATGGAATACTATGCTGCAGTGAAAAACAAGGAACTCATGCAGTATTATTTAAAATGGTTGACTCTGGAGGATATTATGCTGAGTTAAATATCCCAGTCACGAAAGGACAAATATTGCATGGTGCCACTGTTGTAAAAGAGGACTGACCTTGGAGTTGGGGAGAGACTGAGAAAGATGGGTTCAATAATGTGTACTGAACTGAAACAGAGGAGGGAGAAAACTGTTTAAAAGAGA